TGTGTGTGTGTGTGCACGCTGTGGAATGAGAAGCTGGCTGTCCTTTTGGCAGGCAGCAGTATACTGAAGCACCTCTCAGAAAATCTGGACTATTATTGAACTACTGAGAGACACTCTTATTTTACTGTGTAACACACTGCTTTTCTTTCCCTCTCTCTCTCTCTCTCTCATACACACACACACACACATTCAAACACACAGAACCACAGGATACTCTACGATGCGTGTGCAGACGAACACATATGTTGCTGCTTCACCGAGAATAATCTGTGAACGTCCTGCAGGAGAGTTCAGGACTGTGTGAAGGAGTTCCTCAGGGAACATACTGAGGTTCTCTGTGGTTCACAAATCCTTAAATATCTTTTACAGAACACTTTATATGAGGAGTTTTAGGAGGACTATTTAAGCAGTGATTAAGTGAAGTGTAAACGCACCTAAATTAAATTCACTCAGGAAAGACACAATGTGCTTTATTTGTGTGAGAGACTTTGAAATTGACCCACTTGCGCTGAAAGTATATGAAGTGAAAGGGCTGCAGGACCCCGAAAATCTGGCATAATGAAAACCATTAGTTAAAAAAAATGCTTAAACTTATAACGACTTTCTCTTTTTTTACTGGGAATTACATGTACACACTGGTATTTATGGCAGGAAAGTGGCTTTACCTTGTTTTTTTATCCAATTTATCCGCTAAAAAGTTAGAAAATATATGTATATACCTATATATACACATTATATTATATATATATATATATATATATATATATATTGTGTTAGTCATTATAATATAAGTATTATTTCTATTCTTGTGTGAGCACCTTGAGCTACTGTAACAAATCTCCCCCGGGGATCAATAAAGTATTTCAGATTCTGATATTAACAGTAAATAATTTAAGACTATAAATTATTAGTATGATGCCATTATTATAGACTGACACTGGACATAAAGGACCCTGTATCCGCAGAGATCCAATGGCAAGTTTCTAGAAATGTATCCAGATCTGTAAATCATATCGTATTATATAAAAGTTTAAATAAAATCTGTAAAAGATCTGGTCTGTTTTGGGGCTTTTACTCCAGTGCGACTTTCTCCCAGCAGCCACAGCTCTCGACTGACTCTCCACCTTTCAATTAGATTGATTTATGGACTGGAAATCATTCTTTCACACTCTTTCATCAAGGGACCATAGATGGGGTCTTGACACTGGCGGCGGTGAATGACGGCTGCACTGACAGCAGAGAGACAAACAGGTGAGGTATCAACCTTTGGGGATGAGATCCAGCAGAAGTCAGTGGATAATAACTGAAAGATAATTCAGGATCAGCTTCCAGATAAAAGACAGATTCATTCAGTGTCTTTCTATTGTGATAGAAATGAAATGACCATCCATTTAAAACTTATTTTAGGTATCAAGATGACTGAATTAGCTGTCTAAGCGTTTATAGCACTGTTGCCATGGTTACTTGCAGTCTATCATAGGCTGAGTGCCACTTTGAAAAGAGATTAAAGAAGATTTAAACATTTGACTGGACACTTGATCTGTTTAATTACTGTTTATTTTGTTCTTATTAGGGGCGATATTACTGCATTGTTTCATCTCCCTGTGCAGTGTTTGATGTATTAATGTAACTAAAGATTCATATTGTTGTTTAATGTAACAACTCTCTTGTATTTTATACAATCTATAGTGTTTTTTTCACACATTCGCACACATCTGTTTACATAGATGTGTGTGGCGTGCAGCTGGTCGAAGGCTATTGACCCCAAACCAATCAAATGTCAGCAGACGCGCCACCATTGGCAACAACCTTTCTGACATTACAGTATCACAAGTCTGAGAACTCACTGTGCTTTAATGTGTGTGCGTGGCCCCCTCTGTTGGTTGAAACTGAGAACTACAAGACGAATGAACCCAAAGATGTTTTGTGCAGACAACGATAAAAGATGTGCACAGATAGACGTCACTCAGGCAAAATTAGACACTTAAAGGGTTTGAATTCAGGATGACAGTTTTTATTGTTTTATTTGTAGGCTTTCATAAATACTTGGGGCGTTTTAAGGTTGTTAAATTCCTGATTTAGATCATCTAAAAACAATGAGAGCTTATATGACAAAATACATTTCTGCTGGTTAATGTGACTAAAACTGAGAGATTGACAAAAGAAAAGTCTGCTGAACTCCTGCCTGGAACATCTGTTTCTTTAGCCACAAACATGGTTGGTTAATTTCCAAGATAACAAACTCTGTCACCATTTTATTGACTATATTTGCTTTTTAGAGAACAAGAGGGAGTCTGAATCTACAAAAGTGGTTTGGACCTCCAAAAGTTAAGTGTGGCAATTTCTCATCCTGACACCAAAGCCAAACACCATCTGTTTCCTCCACTCTTCTGTAGCACAGGAGGAGATAATCGACCACAAACACATCCAGTTTGAGGTCAAACTACTTTAAATTGAGAGCTAGTTGAAACAGATTAAAAAGAAATAAATAATAAAAAATAAATTAAACAGATTGTTTTTCTCTTTAAACATCTCAAAACATTTTCAATGCAGATGAAATTTGTTTTGCATATTTGACATTTACAGGTGAAAATTATAATTTGTTTAAATTGTTAATAATATTTAAGACGAAATGTTATTTGTTTTCTGTAATGACACTTTTAAGCAGCAGGTAGATATTATTTGTACTTCTTAGGCATTTTCAAAGGTCATTAATACATAAAAATATATGAAATAAACCGTTCAAAGGGAAGTCTGCAGTCACATTGAGTCTTTTGCTCAAGGACACTTCAGCAGGATGTTGTTAATTCATCTGGATAACATGTAAAAACCCTGTAAACAACAATACTGAACTTTTGTTTTCATGTTGCATTTTTACTTAACTTAGTTTTTGTCCATCGTAAAAAGTTCTAGGCAAGAAATGAAGAACATAAATATGTATTAAAACATTTTACATTAGTACATTATAACAGTTTTAGTATGTTGTTTTTTTTGTAACTTTATTAAGCTTCTTCAAGTAACAAACAGGTTTCATCAATGGATATGGGTGCTAAGCATACCGATCAATAAATCAATCCGAGCAGCATATATTAATATAAAAGAGAGATAAAAGAAAGAAAGAAACAAAAAACATCTCGAATATAAATATATATTTTACATATATAAATGTTTTTGGGGTGAAAATGATTGCTCACTGTATCATAAAACAGGCGCGGAGTGATACCTCTCTTCTTGTCTTCCATCTCTGTCTCCCTCCGCGGCCTCCCATTGGTCCAGCCCGCTGCCACTCCTTGCTCTCTGATTGGCCCAGACCTCGGCGTGCGTCGCGTCCGGAGCGGAAGAGATCTACTTGTTGGTGGCTGCAGCTGTGATGAAGCAGAGAGAGGATGAAGAAACACGCAGCGTAGCAGCTTTTTAAAGGAGAATAAAGACACACTTGCACGCAGATAGAGCGTCAGACAGAGCCGACGACATGTCTTTATCCGGGTGTTTGTTGTTGTTGTTGTTGATCTCGTCGGTCGGTGCAGCGAAGAGTGCAGCGGACGATGAGTGGGTTAATCTCCCCAACAAATGTGAAGGTAAGTGAGGCTGTCTCCCCCAAACAGAGAGAGAGAGAGGCCCAGAGAGAGAGAGAGAGCGTTTTAATATTCATATCTAATCACTGTCTGCATCTATCTGCTCTAACATGGATGAATAACAGTTCTTATAAATAACAAGCCTCAATAAGACAGTAATAGTTGTGTTGTGTGTTGTGATATGACATAAAGAGGCTTTTGTGAAGCTGCATTCAGTTGCTGTTTGATCAAATGTTGAAAAATGTTTGAAATGAAATGTGAAAATGAAGATTATCCTGCTTATAATTGTCTCTGTAGTTGTTTTTTGTACTGATACTGCCTCTGTTGTTACTGTTCATGTCTTTTATCACCATGCAAACTGCCTTTCAGTACCTTTTGTGAAGCACTAGGTAAAATAAATGTATCATTATTGTTATTAATAGTAATAATTAGGGCTGGACTGATTGATATGACTGTTACAGATGATATTTTATCAGCTTGTACTACATTTTCTACATAAACACACACTTTTCGTTGAGGATCCCTTTAATTTTAGATATTAAAGAACAGTGACACACTCTCTGAATGATCTTCTTTTATATATTTTTGA